CAATTTTGACCATTTTCATGATTTTTAAAGAATATAATTAAATTTATGATGAAACATTTGTTGCGCTTAGTGTCTCGATAATGACTCAATGTCTTTAAAGCCGAAATTTTCAAGAAGATCCGCGCAGCCTTTATTATGTGAGAATTTTTTTAATTTGGTGAAAAACCTCATGCATTCTCTATGGGGCTCTGAGGTGTTGAAGACTGCCGCAGTCACAGAGACTTGGAGTGATCAAAGTATTTTGTGGCACGTTATTACTCAATAAATTCTAATGTATACATAGCTTGCCTGTGACGACATTCGTGGCAATGACAGTATTTTATGCACCGCGAGCTTTCGGTTCGCCGTGTTAGTTTCCCACCGCAAAAGTTGTGGTTCGAAGGAACCAGTAAGTAGAAATAACCACCAGTACCCATGAATGCCGACGTTTGCAAGCTACGTATATTGATCGAGTTATACCCCAAATCATTGTAATATAGTATTGCTATATAACTGACTGATCTGATGTCTAAAACTAGAACATATCGTCGATCATCGATCGACTTCCTCTCGTCATAGCGTCTGGGCGGGGGCTTCCATACGAAAATGTCAGATCGGAGCGGTCCCAGTTCGAACCCGCGGGGTTCTAAACTTGTGGACGGGTGTATCTCGAAACAACCCATTCTTATTTGAACCTTTCTCGTTTGAACCCATTAGCAAAACGCCCTTCTCGTTTTAACCTTTCGCGTTTCGACCCTTTCTTATTTATACCCGTCTCATTTGAACCGATTCTCATTTGAACCCTTCTCGTCTGAACCCATTCGCAAAGCACCCTTCGCGTTTTAACCTTTCGCGTTTCGACCCTTTCTCATTTGAACACCGTAGTGAGGTATAGAAAGAAGGAAAAACATTTGAGGATGAAGGTTGAAGATGAAGCGAAGCGGCACCATCTCTTGCATAGCACATGAAACAATTTTCCTTATTCCTGCGTGCCACCCCGAGTCTTTTGACGTAGGTACGTGGTCACATGGTGACGTGGTTTCAAAAGTGCTAGCGCAGATTCGGTACTTCATTTCTCTTCTGTCTCTGTATGTCGTTATGATGTCGTTTGGAGCGGATGGATCATTGTGCTAGTCGTGTGTTACTGCTTGTAATGGCCAATTCGGATGGTCATTTTCCCTGAAAAAACGTTTTCCCATATCTTCGGCAAGGGCGTTCGCGTGGTCAAAGGCTGGCGGGTGCAAGCTTTTCGGGTTTCGCTTCTCAGGCGTGTACCGGCAATCTACCAGCAGAAGTTTTCCCGAGCTCCAAGAGGTCGGGCAGCTTGTCTGCCAGACTGTATCCGGTATCGTCACATCCGAATCGGGATAGGGAACCAAACGAAACATTGCTTGCTGAGGCGGCAAATAGCGGGTTCGAGTGGCAAACGAAGCCATTGAGACAGGCACCCTTTTGTGCTCTGAGACAAGATAGCAAAAACAACGAAGAGAAAGATAATTTATGTTTCAAAGAAAGTCAACATTTTTGGAAGAATTTATCCAGCCTAACGCGTCTTCGACGCTGGCGCCAAAGACGCGTTAGGAGAGCCTCCCCGACTCGACCGGATGGGGGCTCAACTTGGACCCCCGACGCTGGATCCCGGCGTGGAAACGAGAGAGGAGGACCCCTAGAAACACGACGTGACAGGAACAAGCCAGCCCTGTGGATCAAAATAAAACATGTTTGAAAGAAGCCTGAAAACGGACGCGAATATAGCCCTCTTGTATCAAATGATTTCACAAAGATTTCATTAAACCGTTTTATTCCGTTATAACACTTTACAAACACAGGCGAGCTGGTGAAGAACTTCCATAGTAACGGTAGACAGGGAACGATAAAAATAACGGACAAGACAACAAGTCTTAAACACAGCTTTCATACCCGTTTTCACGTCAAGAACTCTAGTAAAAAGAGTCCGATTCCTCGCGAACCATTACTAATTTCCACCTTTATGTGGAGAATTGAAATATATGTAGCTGGATATATTTTATATATTATCAAGACGTACACGTTCCAGCGCCAAAATCGTCGCTTTTTTCCCCGACAACCAAATCTTGTAAGACTTTGCGTCGCGTATACGAACATCTTTGTTTCATGTATGTGCTCTCCCCCGCTGTAATGCCTTCGGGCCCTGAGGGTACTTTAATAAATAAATAAATGCCCGAAAGTTTTTCTTGAAAAAAAGGTGTATAGTTTATTTGAACAACGAACGCTCTTATATATATGTCAAGACCCCCACCACCAAAAAATAACTCTTTAAAAAAAGGTATCACCATACACCATTTCGTCCCATATAACTAGGGCTCCGTGTTTTCGGATAAATCCGAAAAACTCGGAAAAACACCCGCCGGTAAAATTTTTGTCAATTCGGATTTATCCGATAAACTCCGAATTGTTATGTGCCCATGCCACCCCCCCCCCCCCTTTTTTTTTTCCACAACAGAAAAAAAAATGTTTCTTTTTTTTTTTTTTTTACAATTTGAGCAGCGCAGGATCGATGGTCCTGGGAAAAAGACACCATAATTATCTTTCAAGCCTCGGACCGTTGTCAAAAGGGGGTCTTACGGCTTGTCTCGTCAAGGTTGGTTCAGGGAAACAGGTCATCGTACCATTCGTGTCACGACAAACGCCACTCTTTTGGCCTCCAGTTTGGGCCATGGGATTTGGGTTTTAAAGAAAGGAGAGGGTATGTTTCTGTGGGTAACAGTGAAAACTAAGGACCATAGAGATTGTATAAAATAGGGAAGAGGGGCAGTTGAAACTTCTCTATTACACATTTAACCACTCCACCTCGCGCGGCCGCGGGATAGATTGATGGGATGACTACGAGCTTCCTTGCGGCTACCTCCGGCAGTTTATTGATTTTAAGGTATCGACGTTTATTGAAGCCACACTTGTGTGCGACGTTTGTCGTGGGACAAATTAGTATTGCCAATGACACCAACGCCGAATTCAACTGAAGAAATCTTAATTGATACAAGCACGTTTTATTTTTTATCTGGCATACGTTTACATCCGGTTATTATTTATTATTTTTAATGAGAAACACTGCGAAATTAATCTCCGAATTTCAGAGAATTGGGGATTAACGAAAAATAAACTCCGATAAACACCGAATTTTCGCTAAAAAATAAACTCCGGAAAACACCCTCCGAATTTCACGAAAAATAAACTCCGAAAACACGGAGCCCTACCAATAACCCACCCGTCTATTTTTCTTTGCGTAGAATACGAGCGTCCAGTGTTGCCATCTTTTTTTGTGCGCCCGCCGCTAAATTGATACCAATAAGTCACTAAACAGTCGCTAGATCCACCTGGAAGTCGCTAAAATATTCGCTGAATTCCAAGAGCTTATTAAACCCTTTTAAAGTAAGTGAATCTCAAATAATCATATCTCAGGTATTTTAAGAAGTTTAACTTACAGTGAAAAACAACTAGCACAGTTTTTGTTTATAATGTTTTATTTGAAAAACGAATAGGCGGTAACCACGAAAGTCTCTTTTGCTTGTCGTTCAAGACTGATTTTCATCTGATGATTGCAACTTTTTTCTAGAGCCGCACTTAGACATGTCAAGGCTATAGCCCTCTTTACCAGTTTAAAGTGAGCACTTTCAAACAAAACTATTCTTTTCTTGGTGCGCGGACAATACTGCCAATAGACATATTCTTCAGAAAAAAGGATGCAAGAACTGAATGCAGTTATTCACAGGCAATTCCCAGGTAAAATTAAGTCCACCTCACACCTCCCTAAACAGTTCGACAATTTCCTCAAAGTTTGGCGGACAGCACGTGGGTACGTGAGCGCGGGAGAGATGGTCTGCAGTGTTGACAGTGTTGACATTTTTTAATTGCGCCGCAAAATTGAGCATATACCCAAAGCAAACTCGGCTAGAGAAGCAAAACCCGCGAGCATCTCTAAAATTGTTCAAAATAATAAGAATACGGTTGAACACCAAAGTCACTAAAAAAGTCGCTAGCCGCTAAATTAAAAATATCCGTCGCTAAATGTATAGAAAATCGCTAAATCTAGCGACAAAATCGCTAAAATGGCAACACTGCGAGCGTCCCCCATTCCGGTTCACGCTATTTTTGATTGTGTTTCTTTCCTTAAAGTGGGCGATGCCTAAGAATTTTCACCAAAGCTGCGCTTGGAGAGTTCAGTCTACGTCCGGGTAGAAGACGCGCTACCGGGCCTGTGGTAATAGTGCGATCTGTTTGTTTGATTTGTTCCACTGCGCTGTGGGGAGACCGCTTGAACTCTGCTTGCACTGCTTCTCTGCGCATTGTGAAAACCCCGAAGTATGTAGAAGTTTGAAACCACTTTCCTCCCTCTCTCTCCTCTCGACTAGCCAAAAGAGAAACAATTTTTTTTCGAAACTGATTAGGATTTCGCAAATTAACTAGTCGAACCTCAAAGTTCGACGTCGAACCTGAGGTTCGACAAGAGTTCGCCGCACCCTTAGGAATAGCCCAAAAATAGCCACATAGCCGACCACGAAATTTTGACGCCAACTAGAAAAAGTTGTAGCCCAATTTGGCTATATATAGCCCAATCTGGCAACACTGGCACTGTGTTTAACGACGACGCGACGACGCCTGGACGACCGTGTGCGCTGCCATAATTACCGCTGCGCTCACCACTGGACTCTACAAAAGTCTTTCGTGCGATGCCCTTAGCCGTTACAAGCGGGAGATCGTCGCGATTTCAGTCCCAGTCTGCCTGGGTCTGAAATCGCGACGATCTCTCGGTTGTAACGGCGGAGGGCATAACACTAAATTTTTTTGTAGAGTCCAGTGGTGAGCGCAGCGGGAATCCCGGCGGTGCAACGGTCCTGGATTTAAAATTGGGGCTGGAACTGCGCGGTTCCAGGCTGGATACAAACTGGTGCCCCAATTTTGGGTCTAGGCGGAACCGGCATTTTTCATTCCGGCCTGAATCTGACATTTTCGTACGGGCTGGGCCACGAAACCATGGGCTGGTGTTTGTTCTGCTGCTGTGGATGACTGCCAGAACGAGGCGGTATGGCATGATGATAGCGGGGATAATGTTCGATGTAGGGGATGAGGATGGCTCCGCACCTCCACTACACTCTTAAAATGATTCTGTTGGGAGAAGGAAGCACAGAACAGAGCAAGATGATAGAACAGACAAAGGGTTTATGAAGATCGGCCAGCACGTGGGGCCATGGTGCGAGATTTTCATGCGCGCCCACGCGCGTCACCTTTTCGTCTTCACAATCTTAACGATAGGTTAATATTTGAATGATCAGTAACACAAATTACTTTTTTAATACAGTCAAACTCGACTGTACTATAGCAGTATAAAAATTTTCCTACTGTTCCTTTCTAAGTACCGCAATCAATTGATTGTGTTGCTGGCACTTCACTCACTGCGCTGAGACATCCGCGATCTGGAAATACAAGAGGTGGTTGCTATATATAGTGCATTATGCCTAGTAAAGCTCGAATGAAATGAGCTGAATAAATCCTATTGTAACGGAAGACTGGTTCTGCTGAAAAGAAGCGCAGTGTTGTGGTGGTAGACTTCCGTTTTTTTTTTTCAGTCGTCGCTGGTCAAGTCAACTTTTATGAGTGGGGGAGGTCCTTGTTCCACGAGCAGGGACACCCGCTCTGCGCAGCCGTAGAATGCGTCCGCGATCATCATAGCCACCTCTTCGTGCTTCAGTCTTCGCGTCGGAACGCCCTGGACTTCCGTGATTAGCTGCCCTTTCTCCAGGCCTCCTGCCTCGCTCGCTGCGCCTGTTGGCTGATAAGAATGACAGTGCGAAAATGAAGCACATTGAATGGTCACAGGTTGTGGACGATCGGACGGAGACACACAGATGTTTTGGTTGGGCCTCCGCAATAACCGGCAGTTCAGGTCAGAAACCCAAATCAAATGCCGGAACTCAGAGAGGACGAATCTGACGCCCCAAATTCGAGCGTAAACCAAACCGGCCTGTGATTGGCAAACCGAATGACGACATCAAAACAAGGGCATGTGAAAGGGATTCCGAAGGGGGGGAAGGGGGGGGGGGGTCAGCCCCTGCATTGAGGAGGCCTAATGCTACCCGAAAAATGCCCAACTTAATGCGGAGGGCAAGTTCGTCTGCTTCTTGCGCAGGGGGTAGCGGTGACGTCAGAACGCCGAGCCCTGATTGGCTGATCGCGACCCCCTATCTGAGCGTCGTCTGCTCCTTTGCAACGTCGTCTGCTCGCAACGTCGTCTGCGTCTGTCTTACCTTTCCTGCGACTTGTCTTACGCCAAAAATGTGCGTAAGACAAAACTTAAGAACAAATTCGTATTCACGCAACGAAATTTTCGTAAGTTTTGCGCAGGTTACGACCAAATTCTACGACAGCTCCGAAGCTGTCTTACGCACTTCTTACGATCAAATCAGCATGGCCGACAGCGTCGAGGTCGCGACGACCCACGGACGTTTATTTTTCTACGTGCGCTTCTCACGCGTCCCGACTTCAAGCAGCAAGAAAAAAGTAAAAAGTACTTGAAACAGACCACGACGAACAAGAACGATGGATCCACAAACACCCGGTAAAAGCTCCGACGGCCACGATTCCACCGAACGCGACCAAGCGAGCACGGCAGTTAGGCCTAGCAGGCACTCCGCGACTCGGCGACCGTCTGCCCACGACCGGCTGGCGTGCTGAACGGAATATGCCCGCGCGAGCCTTGTGAACACTTCCCGTATTATACTTTGATCGCCGACCTCAATTTTAGATTAAGAGGTCAATCTCTTCCTCTTGTCCCGAGGCAACGGTGACTCTCGCCGGTGAAAAAGCGGTGAATCTCCGACAGACGCAGGAAAGGTAAAGCAGCCATCGCTTTGACTAGCAGACGTAAAGCAGACGGCGTTATAACTGCGCCAACCCGCCGACGCCGTTAAAGAATCAGGGGTCTCGCCGCACACGAAAGGAAGGAAAATGTATTTGGGAGGGAACTTGCGGACACTAACACGCTCACCTCTCGGTTCTTAGCAAACAAACCTTGGCGCCTCGGGACACCTCGCGAGTGAGTCCTTTGACTTCCCTTCTTGATGCGCGTCTGCTAGTTGTTAAACAAAAACAACAAACCACTCGAGTTATTTCGTCTGCCCTCTCTGAAAGACGAAGTCGAGCTCGCTCGTAAAGACCTGCACTTCCGAAAGTCGCAGGAAAGGTAAGACAGACGCAGACGACGTTGCGAGCAGACGACGTTGCAAAGGAGCAGACGACGCTCAGATAGGGGGTCGCGATCAGCCAATCAGGGCTCGGCGTTCTGACGTCACCGCTACTTCCTTTCTCATGCGCAGAAGACGAAAATGAGCCCACTTGCGAGGCGTATACGCCTCGCAAGTGGGCTCATTTTCGTCTTCTGCGCATGAGAAAGGAAGTAGCGGTGACGTCAGAACGCCGAGTCCTGATTGGCTGATCGCGACCCCCTATTGAGCGTCGTCTGCTCCTTTGCAACGTCGTCTGCTCGCAACATCGTCTGCGTCTGTCTTACCTTTCCTGCGACTTTCGGAGCGAACTCAACTTGGCCTTTAAGGGAGGGCAGACGAAATAACTCGAGCGGTACGTTGTTTTCGTCTAACAACTAGCAGACGCGCATCAAGGAGGGAAGTCAAAGGACTCACTGGCGAGGTGTCGGGGGGCGCCGAGGTTTGTTTGCTTAGTATCCGCAAGTTCCCTCCCAAATACTTTTTACCTCCATTCGTGCGCGGCGAGACCCCTCACTCTTTAACGGTTTACGTCTGCAAGTCAAAGCGATGGCTGCTTTACCTTTCCTGCGTCTGTCGGAGATTCGCCGCTTTTTCACCCGCGAGAGTCACCGTTGCCTCGGGAAACAAGGAGATAACAAGAGAAAGAAATTGACCTCTTAATCTAAAATTGAGGTCAGCGATCAAAGTATAACACGGGAAGGGTTCACGAGGGTCGCGCGGGCATATTCCATTCAGCACGTCAGCCGGTCGTGGGCAGACGGTCGCCGAGTCGCGGAGTGCCTGCTAGGCCTAACTGCCCAGCTCGTTTGGTCGCGTTCGGTGGAATCGTCGCCGTTGGAGCTTTTCCCCGGTGTCTGTTGATCCATCGTTCTTGTTCGTCGTGCTCTGTTTCAAGTAATTTTTACTTTTCTTTTTTGCTGCTTGAAGTCAGGACGCGTGAGGAGCTCACGTAGAAAAATAAACGTCCGTGGGTCGTCGCGACCGCGACGCTGTCGGCCATGCTGACTTGATCGTAAGAAGTGCGTAAGGCAGCTTCGGAGCTGTCGTAGGATTTCGCCGTAACCTGCGCAAAACTTACGAAAATTTCGTTTCGTGAATACGAATTTGTTCTTAAGTTTTGTCTTTTTTGGCGTAAGATCGTTTCGTGAATCTGGCCTCTGCACTTCCGAAAGTCGCAGGAAACGTAAGACAGACGCAGACGACGTTGCGAGCAGACGACGTTGCAAAGAAGCAGACGACGCTCAGATAGGGGGGCTCGATCAGCCAATCAGGGCTCGGCGTTCTGACGTCACCGCTACCCCCTGCGCAAAGAGCAGACGAACTTGCCCTCCGCATAGACCTCTTTCAAAATACTGCCCTCTGTTGACAGTTCTCGAATCCCTGCACAATGGCGTATTTACACCGCAACGTCACGGCACACTTCTTTTTTTTTGCGTTTGGTTGGATTAGATTGCAAAAACTCGACCACAAAAAGGTGATGAGGGCAATGACGTTGCACCTCCGGCGCTGTTTGATAGACTTGTTGTCTCCTATTGTTGACCGCGCTACAACGGTTGCTATCTTATGGAATGACTTGCACGTTCCATGGTGTCAGTTCGACCATTGTGCAGTGTTTCTGACCCGCTAGTGGTCCGCGCGTAGTTCATAAACTAATTTCATCCATCCCTATTGGTGCCACTTTATAAGCTTGTGTTCTTAGTATTGCGTATACGTGCTAATTATTTGTCTGACTTTAAACCACTTGTACACTTATTACATTTTGATCGATTTAAAAAAAATTAACTCTTTTTTCAGGATTATCGAATGCATTCTTCCTACTAACACATTGTATAAGATATACAGTAGGGTTGGGTACTTAGTCGATTAACCTACCGATTAATCAATGAATGCTTTAATCGCGAACAATTCTTTTAACCGGTTAATCGATTAAAATTTGGGAAAAAAAGTAAAAGGTCAGCGCTTTCACCACGCACACGTGGACGAGTACACCAAACTGTAGGTAAAATTTTGACCTAAACTAAACTGTAGGGGTGAAATTTATAGCTCCAAATAAGTGGAGAAGGTTATACCTGTCCTAGCCACTTCAACGCAGTACGAGGGTCTGTTTAGCCCAGCAGAGACTATTGCGAACAATCAAAGGAGTTCGCTGTTGCCGGCGAATATCGACAACCATTTTTCTCTCTGCAACTAAAGTGATATTTTGGGAGTGTGGTTGTCTTTTGATCGTTAAAAACTCAGTTACACATCAAAATCAATTTAAAATCTGAAATTGCGCATTTTGCCGTTTGACACATATTCAGCAAAGCCCCCCCCCCCCCCCCCCCAAAAAAAAAAAAAGTAAGTTTGCCTTTTTTAAAGCCATTATGCATGAAAATGAACGAAACCGACTAATCGACAAGTTAATCGATTAACGGGTGGAGATTAATGGAGTTAAAATTTTAATCGACGCCCAGCCTTGTACATCAACGCAGTGTTTTCCAAGGAGCCCACTGTGCCCACACCAGGTGTGGGCACTGCGCGGGCGCAGAAACCGAACTCGGGAGGAGTGGAGCATTTGCGCATGCGCAGTACCGACAGCAGCGACACTGCAGTGGCGTGATGTCAGAGAGTTGAGTTGGTCTATATACAGGGTGCTTAATTTTAAGTCGAAAATATGTTTCTTAAAAATAAAAAAAAAGGGGGGGGGGGGGGGGGCTGCGAGTTAGACAAGTTCCGTCTTCACCATGTATTCATCGGGCTTGACGGACATTAAATGAGGGGATAATCGTCAAGGTACGTTGATCAACGAGCTAAAATATCTTAATAACTTTTTAATTTATTGTTTTAGGGGTAATGTTGGAATTGCAGTATTGACGGCAGTTACTATTGGAGGTCACACCAATTTAAGGAATTTGCGAATATCTATTAGTGTTTGAGATATTATATGATAACGTTTCGCGTTCTTTAGACCTATCTAAAAATCGCGCTCATAAATAGCGTTGCAAGCCCTGCCCAGAATGACGCTTGCAAGGGTGACGTCGTCGTTTCAATAATGTCGTTACTATCTGGGCAGCGTGTGCTTGTTAGGAGCGCCGACAACACAAGTGACCACGTGATCTAAACCACTACCTCACTCGTAGTTATTTATTTATTTATTTATTTATTTATTTATTCAATATACCCTTCAGCGACCGAAATGCATTACAGAAAAAAAAAGGGGGGGGGGGGAGCGAGGTACATGAAAAATAACAATAAACAAAATCTAGGTTAATGATGAAACATTTACAAGTGGTACGAAAAATAAAAAGAATTATCATTATAATTGATCAACATAGTTCACACAATCATGTGACCCGATGCAAGCACTTGTCAATAACTATGGAAAAATCACAGTGTTTAGCTAATTAGTAAACAAAACACTGTTAATTAGTCAACTTACCGTGACGATTGTCCTTCGATCTAATGTCTGCCGAACCTGACGAATACGTGGTGAAGAAGGCACTTCTCTAACTCTCAGCCCCCTCCCTCACTTCCTTTAAAGGAAAAAGAAGTGTTCGAATTAAAATTA